GCAATAAATCTGTCAAACGTTGAGGGGGGCTGTAACGGCACTGGCAGCCATCACTGCTCTGTTCTCTAATAGCGGCGTCCCCTCGGCTTCTCACGCGCAGAGCAGGGCCTCCTCCGCTTTATCTACACTGCCGCAGACTTACATGGTATTAGGTGTGTTGCTGGATGAAGAAGTCCTCCGAATTTCGTCGGTCGGGGCGCTTCTGGCTCGACGAATATGTTTATGTAATCGACCCTATCTTGTTTCATATGTATTTATTTTTCATTCCTGTAAGATTCGAAGATGAAAACGGTATTGTAATCCCAATGATATACCTTTCAAGCCAGTGGCACACAATATTCAGTATTCTTCAAACACGGTTACGATTATTGTAAATATAAGTTCGTCATTGGAAATTAAACTGATCATTTTATTGAATCAAATATTCTCCTTTTGGGACCCATACGTTGATCTAACGATAAAAAATAATTGATGAATAATAGCTACTGTATGATTGATTTTTTTAAGGTTAGGTCGTGCAAAGACCTCTCGGGCTCGTGTATACCCTGCTACTGGATTTTAGTAGCCGCAGTCGTTGTAGACTTATTCGCTTTCTCGTCTCGTGTGGTGGCACTCCAGTTTGTGCATAATACACAGTAATATTAACAATAATAGTAATAATAAAACAAATAAGTAGTAAAGAATAGTTTTTATATATTCCTAAAGCAATTAAGTAATAAAACACAAATTCAACTTAGCAGTGCTACTAATATTTGTCGATTGTTATAATATCATTAATCCAGTTTATCTCTCCTTTTACTGCGACACGACATTTTTATTTTAATATAATTTTACAGAACATTATCGTCTTAAGGATGAATTCGTGTTGACTTACTATATACAAGTAGTAGACTATAAGTGAGATGTAAGATATAACAAAGTGCCATATACATCAATGAATTGGTCGCTGCCTAGGCATTCAATACTATCAAAGTGGCAAAGAGAATACACTACTAAAATCACACTGTACATTATTCACTCTCAAGTAAAACTTTAGTTAAATTTTAAGTATACCAAAAGGCTTTGCACTAGATGAAACACTGTAATGTAACATGCAAGTGCAATATTTAAAACTCATCTCAGAAATGTGGTTTTTGTACAGGACTCTTTGGTTTTATATTATAAACATTACTGTTTCCTTTTTATTGCATTAAACATACCTACAATTATTTAGTTATTTTTATAAACCAATCATTTCGATTGCAAAAGTCCTTTTTTGCTAGTAGGTAAAAGACAGTCTCTTATTTTGTTTCTTAAGTCATTAGCTGACAAATCGCATTTTTTAATTTTTTTTGCCTTAATTACAAGGTAACTATGCAGCAGTGGGACTCGGTTAGGACACCCTATATAAGCGCACCGTGTTTGGAAATCATCTATGACCCAGAAGGCAAAATTAAAGATTCATGGATGATTTGATACCTGCATTCAAAGAATAATTTTAGTCAACAATTTCCTAATTTTGGTATATTTCGCTAAATCGCAACACCATTAGTTCCTTTGATCTATTGAAATTATTTTATCGCCAAAAGACGAATTAACCACTCGACAATCTTTTGTTAGTGCGTAGAGGATTCCATGGCCTCCCAAGGCATGCTGTAGCGCGTTTTCCTTAATATGTAGCTACCTAGTTCACGTATACAGGGTGTAACAGGTTGTATACAGGGTGTGTCAAAAATGAATACAGTTTGTTAAAGATCAAAAAGGCAGATACATATCCTAAGTATTTTCTTAATAAATGAAGTTATTAAAACAAAATTTAGTGCTCATAATACATGAAGAAATGGCATTCAACTTAAAAAAAATAAATCTTAACTCAAACCAATGATGTGGATATGTTGGTTAAATTTTCCTGAAAAATTGTGACACTGAAAAATAGCATATGTATTTTATGGTCGATGAAAATGCTGTTTTCTTTTGTGAGGAGACAATTATTGTCCATGAGCCGAGTTAGCGGTGAATGGGACTAAACATTAGATTTTTTTTTGTAAGTATTATTTTATGTTCAATTTAATTCAAAATGAACTGTTACACAACGAATTATTAGTTACATTTTCGTTGCTTCAAGATTAGTAGATATTTAGGTACGTGTAAAACATGTTTCGCTAAAATTCAATTAGTTAATAGGAAGGTTCATGTAAATTTAGTGTTTTAAATATGAAATGATATGACAAATGTTACTTTCGTATCGACTAAGCCATAAAAAATTCTTACTTCTCTTCTCGCATATATGAGATAATACGTTTAAAAAAGTTTATAGGTTTATTATTTAAATTATTTGACAAGTCAAAGAAAATTTTTTTAACTCAAAAATTTTAAAGACAATAATGTTTATAAGAAAATCTCTGACGCCTTGCACCCTGCAGTTTTTTGGTTGTATTTTAGTAACAATATAGTACTAAGTATGTATAAAACCAATTGTTATTTTATACGATGATAATATATCTAGAGATGTTTTAAAATCTTATGAGCTTTGACCTTCATATGCGCAGAAACATAATTCCGAACGTCGCCTAAATTATTCTACGCACTAAAACCATTACACCTATTATTCACAGTCTCTCTCGAGCTCTAGCGTAAACAAGCCTTTGATCCGATTACAAATATCAAAATAAAATGCCATATTCTTTATTATTTTAATTTAAACAATAAAAATATATATAACGAACGTTCGCCAGTTGACTTTATTGATGCCCGAGCGCCTTAGTTCATTTCTACTTGTAATGATGTGATGATTTCGCGGCTCATGAGATATTAAAAGACCTCTACCTTTATGTATTTTTAAATCATTTCAACAATTATCTGGTTAACAATAGCAATAAATTAAGTATCACATATTTTGAAAGACAAATAAAAAATTATTATTATAAGATATTTTACAGCGCTATCATGTATTTTTTTTTAAATTATATACACCCTTTGGCCAATTTTTTTTAATAAGCAAAACTAATTGTAAGTCTACGCATGGATTCTTACCTGCGTGTTTATGTACAAATATGTAACAACCTTAGGCGATATGTGTGAACATATTGTTAAATCATATGTGGACGAATATTTGTAGAATTTACGCAAATGTTCGCCTATAAGCAAGTACTGAGTGGAAATCAATATAATTGATCTAACACTGTTTGCAAATAATAATTTTTTAAAGATGTCACATGACATGTAAGGTTTTTCCGAAGTCAATTGAAGAATCTATAATTGCAAGGTATGTACCAGGCTCGGTCGCTAAGCAGCAACTCGGCATTGAAATATTTGAAAAACGTATTCCCATATTTATTTAGCCAAACCCATATATAGGTATGGTCGAACTAAACGCGCAGGTGGTAGAAATGTATACGAGCAGTTGAAGAATGCAAGCGCGGCCAAAGGAAAACGAGCACAGTTGTATTGGGCTTCCGGGCAATAAATCACAGCAGGCGACAAGTGGTTTATAAATTGCCCAGCAGTGCAGTGCAGTAGTGCGGAATTTGGTGTGAATCAGGTAATTTTAATTTATTATAGGCACCTTCTATCAATCATTCATATTACAATTGCGAAAGGGAGAAATAAGAGGGATATTTTGTTTACTAATACTCATATTATCACAACATGGCATTTTGGAGACCTTTTGAAAAGGAACAAAACAAAATTTACCACCAATATAATAAAATTGTTTGAGGACATAATTAATTAAAATATGTTCTTGGCCAAATAGAAATTTTCTACACATTATATACAAATTATTATAATTATTTACCTTTATCAGAAAATTTTTTTAGGGGCGCCTATGAAACTCATTAAATTTTATTACCAGACGTTCTTTTGCATATTCAATTTACTTCCGAAGGGCAGAATAGACTGTTCCAACAAATATTGGTATGTCAACGTTCACTTGCAAATATTCGTAGAATTCAGCAATATACATCTTTGCAAGTGCAGAAACTGAGCATGAAAATGACTGACTGATGACTGGAATGGGAAAATATTTATTTCATTTCTTATATCTGTTATAAGTGTGAGTATTTAAGTAATTAAGAACTAGTTTGTGACAATAAATGTAAGTATCTAATAATATTCAGAACAAAAATCATAATTCTAACACCTGTTATTTCTTCTATTAAATAACTACGTCATTGGAAAAATATGTGTTTTTATGTTCTTCTTTTGTAGAAAAGTTTGAAATTTATTTAGTTAGTTTTTTTGGCTCCCTACATAATAATGAACTACTTAAAAAATGCAGTAAATCATACGAGTATAAAAATGTATTAAAAGTAGACAAATACATTAAATAAATCTATTATTTGGCAACGAGCAATCAATTATCTTCCAAAACCCGGCGTTGGCGATCCTGTCTAGCCGGCAGAAGTATAAAAACACATTTTTTGATTGTCCAAATCATTTTTTACGCGGGCGAGATATACGGGATAATAATATGGAACACTGAAAGAGTTATAGAAATTAGGCCCCTCCCCTATAGCCGCTTGGGACGGCATTTACTCGAGAAGTATCGCCATCTGAGGGTTACAGTTGCAATCTCATGCTCTAGCCTCAGAGAGGGTATTCTAAGTCGCTGCCTCGAGTGAATATGAACATTTCCTTTCATTTTTTAGGAAACGTACGACATTAGACCCTTGAAAATTACTTTTTAACTTGACTGTTTATCTATTACGGATCTGCTAGGGGTAAACGTTCGCATTTTTAATCACTAAAGACCCTTAAAGCTTCCTTTTTATTGAATCAAACACATTTTTCTTATTTGTTATATCACTATTATCAACATTTGGATTAAATGTGAAGGACTTGTCAAGACCACTTCAAAACTAGCTCCATCACCTTTTTTAAATAATGTTTCTACGGTTGTCCGATGCAGTTTGAGGTTAGGTGCGATGACCTAGGTTTTGAACCGGATTTTTCGAAGAAAACTTTGTAAATTTCACAAAAATCATACACCTGCTTGTAAATTGTATAAAGGGGGTACTTACCGGTTGATTGTGGAATGTTTCGTGCAGTTTTTCCGGTAATATTGGGTTGGAACTGGCGGAAGAACCACGTTCGACTTGGCATCGCACTACATTACGGAGAGCGCACATAGATGGCGGAATGTGTACAAAATGTGAATCGGAGCACGTAGTAGACGGATTTGTACGATATAAGTTCTGCTTAAAGTTATAATAGCAAGAGTTATAATTTGAAGACGATTTTTATAGGTATTTAATTTATAGAAACAATTATATGAAAATAATAAACTGTTTTTGAGAGCAGAATTATTATTTTGACTATAAAATGTGTTTCAATTTTTTATTATTTAATTTTCAGTTGAACTAAATTAAATGCCAAGTTAATATATGTTTGTTCTTTATTGAAGAACATGTGACAAGGTGTTATGTAAGTTAATTTTTCGGTTGACAGTTCTTCTGTAACGAACTTTTTAACTTTTTAGAAGACCGAAAACTGATCATCATATGAATTTAAATATGGAGGTATACCTATTTTCTCAAATACAAATAAACAAGGAAGATAGTAAAAAATGTCAGTTGCGGTAACAGCGGTTTTCATTTCAACCTCTGGAAAAATCATAAAAAATAACTCAATGGGCTATTTCACACAAGACATTGAGAATAAAGTATTCATAATATTGTCTTATCTTAAACTAATCAGATTTCTATTAATTGTAGGTGATATAGGTAGGTAGATATGGATTAAGCAGTTGCTTATTATATATGAAACTTTTTATTTGTTAAGCTATTTGACAACAAATATTTATGCATATTTTAATTAAAAAATAATATGGGAATTTGGATTCTGATTTCAGGTTTTTCGTAGAAATATTACGTAAACAGTTAGTGAAATTATTGAGTACATTTTCACTCAATATTGAGCATTTTGATAATTTTACTCATTTGTGATAATGTGTTGAACTCAGTACTTTCACTCAAAATACCGTTAAATAAATTTTGCAGATAAACTCGTGTTTGGTACACTTGTAGCTAAATCGGAGTAAATGTCCTCATTATTGAGTGATCATTCTATGGTTGTCGTTCGCTGTCTTTGTCTGTTCCCATCGTCTCCATTAGATCATCTCGTGGCGTGCATGGTGTATGGCGTGTAGTGCTGGGCAAGTGTCCGATAATCCGGTTATTTTGGTGAAAATTATGTTTAAATGCAGTGCAGTTTCATTACAATAATTAATAACAATAATATATTGAGTCTCGATTAATATTTGGTTGAATATACAAATAGTTAAATTGTTACCTATATACTTAGGTACTTAGGTATCGGTAACGTGCGATATATATGGCAATCTATTCATCCGATCAGTTAACGAATTTCTTTAATTGAGACTTAAAATATTGTCTCTAAAACAGATCTTTGGCACCGTAGTAGTTTATGACTTTAATACCATGATATTTAAAATAAAATTTAAAGAGAATATAAAGTGGTGCAAATTCTCTCCAGATATTAATGAAATGGAAGCAGCTGCGGCTAATGGGGGGAACTTTGGGGCACCACCCCCTTGGAAATTTTCATGGTACAAAATTGCTCAATAATAGTTACATTTAAATAATATTAGAGAAAAAGTCAATCCTTAATTTGAGTAAAATTCACTCACCTCTGTTGCAATAGTTTCACTCCTAAAATTTTAGTTGTACAGTTGGCGCCATCCAAATGTGAACGGATTTTGGTTGTTATGGAAATTTAATCTGGATTTTATCGTAGTAGATCAGACTTTTTTTAGTAGCGTAACACAGAAAGGGTATTGATAGAATTTTATTTTCAGTGTCTCTTATAATACTTAATAATTAAAAAGACGACACAAATAATATAAAGGAGATTAACGAAATAAATATTACTTACTTACATATTAGTGGAAGAAAGTTAAGACAACCAAATTAAGTTTATCATCTTTAGTAGATATATTTAAAGTATAACAATTGTTAAAAAAAGACAGTAAATAAAAAGTAAAAAACCTTATTTCAAAATTAACAACAAATCTATGGCTATAGAAGAAAATTATATTTGAGCACAGTGACGATTGCAGATCAACAGAGAAATGTTTAAGTCTCGCAAAAACTACTGTTGCAAAATTGGCATTAGAATGAAATATTAATATTTTATTGCAGAGCCATTCATTGCCACAACACTCTGCAATCTTGTTGGCATAGACAAAATCAACGCTCTCATATCATATGAATCCACGAGCTCTTCCCAAGCATCTTGAATAGCTTGCCAGAGTTGATTGCGGTTTGCCGGCCTAAAGTCTCTTTGATGCATTCGACCAAAGCGTTATCTTCCGCGTCATTGGAAACCTTTCCGTCACCTTGCCTGATAGGTCCTTGTAATCTTTAAACTTCTTGCCAGCCTTTTTTTAATATAAAATATACAGCTCTTACTGACATTTTAATCAGCAACCACTTCACTCAAAGACCAATTATCTTCTAATTTAGCTATAGCCCTGATACATTATTGAGCAAAATTGAGTGAAATTGAGTGATTTTTTTTACAGTGTACCTTGCTTATATTGTTAGTTATCGCCATTTTATAATTTTGTATTCCTAAGTTTTTTTACTGTAAAATAGAAATTTGTATTTGTCTATCGCACAAAAACATGTGAGAGAATATAGTATAATGTCTAGGTAAGTATTATTTGCAAAATCTAAGAAGAATGGACTTTGTAGTAGGTACAAAAAAAATAAGCTACAAATAATCAACAATGGTGGAATGGTGCATATATTATGCACTGTTGTCAAAGGTACTTACAACTGACAAGTTAGATACATAAATTTTACGATATTTAAATGCTATTTATGGTATAAATCAATCAAATTTACATTCATACATTTTAAAATGAAAATATGCAACATTTGAGAAGATAATTAATAATTTTGATGTTTCTCTCTAGAACTGTGAGCTCAATGTTGTTATGCTAGAGAATATGCGTGTGGGCAATAAATTTCTGCCCCCGTGTACATTGCATGCCGATTCCGCTCAGCGACGTCATTGAAAAAGCGTGTTTAGGTATGAGTTGAATAATTAGAATTAATTTTGTGTTAATATTCTGGTTGTGTTATGAACTGAAATGGAGTTTACTAGTTGTTAAAGATGTGCTTAAAGAAAGTAATAATAAAAAAATAATAATAATAATGACGTTTAATTTGAATACCCCATTGTATCTCATTTTCATCACATAGTAACTATTTCCTGAGCCTACAATTCTAAATATCTAACTATGCTTTGAATTCTGATGATGTAAAAATCGGTAGATTCAGATAAATTGTGGAAATAACGGAAATACTGGTTTTATTGAGGATGTGCAGGAACTGTAAAATCACAAAGATGCAAAACGTCCCCCTTGGTCGTTTTCTTTTATGGTTCCTGTTATAGGTTGCAACGATTTTTATCAAAATAAGGTCATGTTATTTTCATAATGGTACGATTAACACGTCTGTTGTTCATTGCCAACATAATTCCATGACTTTGTTGGCGGTTACACTTTTCGGAATTAGTTCCTAAATATTGAGATATACTTATTGTATTTCAGAACTTCAATTTTACTATCTTCAATAATCTTCACTTAAGGATTTCAAGCTATTATCCAATTTTCGAAACAATCCTATGAAGTTCAAATACTGTGCTTAGTAGTAGGTAGTACCTAGTTGAAGTTTTTTATGTTCTAAAATTGTTCTTTCGCATTTTTTTTAATTCGCTGTTAGTAATAGATTCGTTCTGTCATCACAATTACAAGATGCTGCGTTTCTTGTTGAGGAGTTTTTTTTTTTTCAGTGTGGAATTTTTCATTGTTGTCCATTGCAGCTGCAATTTGCAAGTAGGTAACTGTAATATGTTAGAGTTTTTTAACGTTTCACTCTTCTACTATCAATTTCTTCAGAAGACTATAACTATCCGATGAGGATTTCGTTTATAAAAACTGTTAGTTTTGAGAAAATTCTATTGATTTTAGAGAAATTTATGTTAGGCTAGATTAGGTTAAACACTAATCCTCCACTGCGACCTTGTGATCTATTCCGCCTCACACCTAAAATTATATTTCTTCTAAAAGGTTTAGCTCTCAGTAAAACTAATTGGATGAGGTTCCATCCAGCTCCTGCGGCAAGAACTGTACTTTATAATTTACGACATCTGCATGAAGTGAACTTCCTATTCGTGTTGTATCTCGTTGGATACTGGACATTTCTAAATAGTTCCTCTTTTAACAAATTTCCTGACTTTGAATATTGATGGAATCACTTGAGTAAGAGTAAATAATCGAATAGTGAGGGAAGGGGATGCCGCCAAAGCTAAAATCGGTCCCCTCCCTTCGGGCGCCGCACAGCGGAGTGCAAACAACAGGTGAGACGCAGCGGCAATAAACCACGAGGCATTCCAGAGATTGACACATCGCGCGGAGGTATCTGGAGCGAGGCTAGCGCTCCGCAGAGGCTGCTATCATAAAGAAGGCGTGTTCCCAGCAGGCCGCTCCCACCTGTCAAACTGACCATGAAGTTGCGCATTAGCATCGCTCGCAAATACTGCGAGACGTGTTCGCGCGAGTGACGAGAGATGACATTGCAGAGTCTCCCCCGAAACGCAGACAGAGAGGGAGCGAGTCAAAACAAGCGAGCGGCGTCGCCAAGTGACGCCGGCGCCTATACACAACCTGACGAAACGTTGCGCCGACGATTGTCGTCCGCTCGCGGTGGTGGGGGTAACACCGCGCTTCTCGCTGTCACTCACTCAGTCCGCGCAGGCCGTGCATCTGAGGAGGACGTTTTCACCTGTTCCATTCGATCCGCAACGACTTGGTGCACATCCTGACAGCCCCCCTGGCGAATTCCGGTGCTGTGACTGCGACCGCGACGCGCGACGTCATCACTTAGTGCGTTGCCCCCCCGATCACTCTTGGATTACAGTTCGAGCACCCCCAAACTCTCCAGAAGTACGAAAATATGTATACGACCCATCTGTGCTGTGTAGTGTTTATAAAATAGTATATATAAGCGAGCATCTTAGTCAGTAGTGGTACCTACGATGAACAGTGGATGTTTTTGTAAAC